AGAGACGGGGTTTCACCATGTTGACCAGGATGGTCTTGATCTCTTGACCTCGTGATCCACCCGCCTCGGCCTCCCAAAGTGCTGGGATTACAGGCTTGAGCCACCGCGCCCGGCTACTTTTTTGTATTTTTAATAGAGATGGGTTTCACCATGTTGGCCTGGCTGGTTGCGAACTCCTGACCTTAGGTGATCCGCCCACCTTGGCCTCCCACAGTGTTGGGATTACAGGCGTGAGCCACTGCACCTGGCCGCCCCACTTCTTTAGAAGGAGAAGTGCCAGTTACCTCCTGTCAGTTCTGGGCTATGATCCATAGTCTCCCTTGAAAGGACAAGTACAGGGCAAATGGTGCCAGTCACTGGGGAAACCTCAGTCCTAGGAAGGGGGCAAGCAGTTCTGGGTCTTCCACTCCCCCAGCCTCCTTGCCCCCTCGTGGCCACAGAGAAGCATATCATTGGTTTGACTGTAAATTCTTGAGCAAAGCTTCACTTTAACATTCATAATTTGTGGAGAAACTTGAGGGCATCAGTGGGCAACTCTTTAATCCACCCACCCCAAATCTATATATTTACCTTAAATTTTTTCCCCACCTTCTGTTAAATGGATCCTCTGATCCTGTTTAAGACCCCTCCCTGGCTTCTAGCTGCCTGCCCGCTTCATAAATACTGTGCGGGCTCGTGCCCCTCACACACAGGTGAGTTCCAGTGTTTGCTTTTAAAATCTCCTCTTCTGACCAGTCCCCCTACAGCAGGGCTCTGTTTTCTGTTCCCTAATTACCAAAATATCTCTTATGTGATGGTGCTGCCACCCAGACTGGAGTGCAGTGGCCCCTCCCAGGTTCAAGTGATCCTCCCACCTCAGCCTCTCAAGGACCTGGGGCTACAGGTGTGTGTCATCATGCCAAGCTAATTTTTTTTTTTAAGTAGCGATGGGGTTTCACCATGTTGGCCAAGATGGAGTGATGTATAAGACAACCCACTTCCTCACCTTCCATTCTGCTTTCCAACTTCACCACATCATGGAGCTTTCTCTTTCCAAGATCAGTGGCAACCTCCATGTTTCCGAATCCCGTGGCCACAGTTCTGACTCCTTTTACTTGACCTGTCTGTCAGCAGCAGGCACTGGACGCTCACTCTCCTGGTTTGAAAATGCTGACTTCTGGCTTCTGTGATAACATGGTCCCCTGATTTTCCTCCTGCCTCGGGGGCCACATATCCACTTCACCCAAATTCTCCACGTGTTGACATTTCATCATATTTGCTCCTTCCCTTTCTT